CCTAAACTCCTAAACCCTAAACTTTTAACCCTAAGATCAGCCAAGGAGCAAGAAAAGCGATGCAGCCACGAAGCAGGTTGAGACAATCATCCACAAGGAAGCCATGGCCACCCTTTGAAACCCCTGGGTTACCCGGGTTTAACCGAAACCCCAAACCCCTGGGTTTGGGGTTTAGGGTTTGCAAAGTTTAGGGTTTAGGGTTTGTTCCCTCCCACTTAGCAGGGTTTAGGGTTTAAGGTTTAGGGTTGAGGGTTCTTTGGAGCTTCCCTGTCCCTGCCCTGAAGTCCTGGAAAAGTCATGCCGAGAACATGTGTGGAGCCGGAGAATTACAACTAAAACCCAAAGCCCTGCACCTTAAACCCCAAACCATAAGCCCTAAACCCTTAAACGAAAGCCCTAAAGCGTTGATTCATTGCCCGATACACAGCAGACTAGCTTTGACAACCACGAGGTTGAGATCATCCCCTGGTCTCTTTATACAAGGTTCACCAGAATCGATCCACCTCGCTTTCTTGTAGTATACGGGCCTTAAAAGTTCGAAGAGAGGTTTGGGCCTCTGTATAGTTAGTAATTACAAGAAGGAACCCAAAGAGTATAGCAATGTTAGCACTTATCTAAGCTTTTATATTCGGTTCAGTGGGAGAAGCTTGCGACATCTGTCAAGACTTCTCGGGTTTGGATCAGGTTTAGGGTTAGGGTACAGGGGTCAAACTCGAAACCTCTTTAGGCCAAACCCTCCATGCAAACCAGCCTGCAGGTGTCAAACCCCCCCATCCAAAACTTAGTCAAACCCGTAACCGTAGACCGTGAAACCCCTCAAGACTGCCTGGCATCTAGCTTGAGAAGGGTTTCTCAGAAGCTTTGCGCGGGCTTAGACGGGTGTTTAAGAGCTTCATACGGAGACAACATACGGCTTCTAGGGTGGTCCAGGCTTAGGACCTACGGTGGTGTTGCAAGTAGGCTACTGAAAACTACAAGAAATCCCTCAGTTCAGAAGCTCGTTCCGGTGAGCTTGTCAAGGTACCTCAAGTTCACGGCAATCCTATCCACGCCAGAAGCAGCCAAACCTCACCCACAACTGCCCCCCAACGGCCCCTGACAAACGACAGTAGCAAGATTAATACCTGTTGAAAACACAGCAAATAGAACACCGGCAACCACAACCACCACCACCACCATCACCA